AAAAAAAAAAAAAAAAAAAAAAAAAAAAAAGTCATTAAAATAATTTCAGCCTATCAGTTCAGTCCAGTATAATTAATTATTGTAATGCTGGATGCTGGGTTAGCAATCTTCATGAATGCATCAGCTTTTCATTAGTGTTCTGGAAGTTTTTACCTAGTCCACTGGTATGATCTCTAAGGTTATTAGAAACCTGTATTCAAGAGTACTTGTCAGTATTCTTTCCATGAATTTCCTTGAAGGAAAGACAAATTTTGGACTGTAGCTGATTGTAAACCACTATTTGTCTTTTCTCTTTCTCTTCTTATTTTTTTCTTGAGATGGAGTCTCCCTCTGTTGCCCAGGCTGGAATGCAATGGCACAATTTCAGCTCACTGCAATCTCTGCCTTCCGGGTTCAAGCGATTCTCCTGCCTCAGCCTCCCCAGTAGCTGGGACTACAGGCATGCGCCCCCATAACCAGCTAGTTTCTGTAATTTTTTGGTAGAGATAGGGTTTCGCCATGTTGGCCAGACTGGCCTCAAACTCCTTACCTCAGGTGATCCACCCACCTGGGCCTCCCAAAGTGCTGGGATTACAGATCACTGCACCTGGTCCTTATACCTACTTTTTTCATTTTAGCCTTCCTTAGGCCAAAAATTTTCTTTCTTTTCCCCCTTATCATTTGAACCGTACAAAGTTCTCTCTCACGCAAAAGAAAAAAAATTACTCACTTTTCAACTTTATTTATGAAAAGACATGTCACTTGGCTGGGCATGGTGGCTCATGCCTGTAATCCCAGTACTTTGGGAGATTGAGGTGGGCAGATCACCTGAAGTCAGGAGTTTGAGACCAGCCTGGCCAACGTGGTGAAACCCCTGTCTCTACCAAAAATACAAAAATTAGCCAGGCATGGTGGTGCGTACCTGTCCTCCCAGCTACTCAGGAAGCTGAGGCCAGAAAATCACTTGAACCCAAGAGGCAGAGGTTGCAGTGAGCTGAGCTCATGGAATTACAGGTACCCTCCACCATGTCCAGCTAATTTTCTGTGTTTTTAATAGATGTTAGATATAGTGAACTCCAAGTTTCTTTTCAAAGAATCAGTATGTCAGTACGTTCAGCTCTCTTATTCTTTAATTTTCCATTTTAAAGTTTAACTTCCTTATAGTTTCAGTAAACAACCTTTTCCACCAGTTCTAATCAGTAGCTCACATCTTTTCCCCTGATCCCCTCCTCCATCCTGACTCATCCCAGTCACCTGCTCCAGTCACCTGCCCTGGTCACCTGCTTAGACCTGAGTCACCCCTGGTCACCTGCTCTGACCTGTCCTGTAACCATCCTTCCCATCAAACTACCCACCCCACCACTCCAGCTCGTACTCCTGCTCTCTTTAAAATAGCCAAAGGGAATTCTTAGACTGTGCAGTCTAACCCTAGCCAATAGGGGAACAACACAGCAGTAGGGGCTACCTGCATCAGAGGTAAGAACCCCTTCCCCTCCCTTGTCCAAGTGTGCACTTGCCATTGCTCCATCTGTGAGACACACCCTTCTATAGAAGTAAACTGCCTTGCTGAGGAAGTTTACATTGGAGTGCTATTTATTTTGTGGCACTGAAAATTTACATATAACATAGAGACAAGGTTTCACCATGTTAGCCAGGCCAGTCTCAATCTCCTAACATCAAGTGACCCACCTGCCTCAGCTTCCCAAAGTGCCAGGATTACAGGCATGAGCCACCATACCCAGCCTTCAAGTTTATTTTTCTATTAACTATCTTTACATTACTGTATATGAGGCAAGTATCATAAAATCAAAAAACCTTAAAGTTAAATACATGTATATTTCTTGATAACTCAGAAGATAAACCAACAATATTAAACATTTTTATTTACCAAAAATTGACCCAAGTCATGTTAATGAAAAGGCATTTGAGTTAGTTTCTATTTTCTGGTAAAATATGTTAGGTGGTCCCTTCTTGAAGCCAATTAATTATAGCTTTTTCATATATTTTGGTAGTGAAATGTCATATACACATGACACATATAAACATATAGAGACAGAAGCAGATCTTATAGCTTCCATAAAGAATCTTCTCTCAAATTCCCCATTTCTACAAAAGATAAATTATAGTGGGACCAACTAATTTGCAAAGTAAGTTTTAGCATTATACTCAGCCTGATTACACTCTCAAATAGTTTTTATTTCCCCTTTTTACATGATCTCTAAGCAACTGTTAGCTAGGCAACACTAAATGTGGACTTCTTTTTTTTTTTTCTTTTTTGAGACAGAGTTTCATTCTTGTTGCCCAGACTGGAGTACAATGGCGTGATCTCGGCTCACTGCAACCTCCACCTCCTGGATTCAAGTGATTCTCCTGCCTCAGCCTCCCAAGTAGCTGGGATTACAGGCATGTGTCACCACACCCGGCTGATTTTGTATTTTTTAGTAGAGACAGGGTTTCTCCATGTTGGTCAGGTGGGTCTCAAACTCCTGACCTCAGGTGATCCACTTGCCTCAGCCTCCCAAAGTGCTGGGATTACAGGTGTGAGCCACCGTGCCCCACCACTAAATGTGCACTTCTAAAGGGATGACTCAGGTGAAACAAAGTAGAACAAATGCACGTCTCAAAAGCACAAAGCTAAACTCAAACCAAGGAAGAAGGGTGTAGGTAAAGCCTAGTCGAGGTGAGACTGCCAGGAAAAGTGTCTCCAAAGACTACCATTTGTGATGTCAACTTCAAGCCAATGTCTTCCCCATCTTCACTTTCTAGTGGTTTGGGTGCAGGGAGGGGACGCCCTTACAAATAGAGATTTCCTTTATGTAAATTTTTTTTACAAAGAGTTTCAATAGAGCCAGCTAAATGCTAGAAAGCCATATTTTGGAGATCAAAGAAGTTGCACAAGGGTCTGCATTCATCAGGTTCTCCAGAGGGCCAGAACTAATAGGATAGATGGACAGATGAAAGGGAGTTTATTAGGGAGAATTAGCTCACGCCATCACAGGGCCACGTCCCATGACAGGCTGTCTGCAAGCTGAGGAAGAAAGAAGCCAGGAGTGGCTCAGCCAGGTCCAAAAGCCTCAAAAGTAGGGAAATCAACAGTACAGCCTTCAATCTGTGGCTGAAAGCCTGAGAGTCCTAGGCAAACCACTGGTGTTGGTCCAAGAGTCCAAAGGCCAAAGAACCTGGAGTCTGATATCCAAGGGCAAGAGGAAGAGAGGAAGCATCCAGCACAGGATAAAGAGGAATGCAAAACCGCCTTTGCAAAAATTATAACTGAAGAAATTGTGACAGTGAAAGAGATCAGACCTAACCGACTCCACCTTGCTTCTAACCTTTAAGCTGTCTTTGTTCATTCCTGGGCACTTGCCCAACTAACCCTGGGAAGAAATTTAGTTTATAGTTTGACTCTGAAACAAAATTGATAACAGTCCTTTCCCATAAAGATCTCCTTCTTGCCTAGGAACGAGTCTGCCTTTGTAAGACTAATAAATTAGCTACAAGATTAGAAATTGTGATTTAAACGTCATTCAGCCTCTGGCCGTGAGTCTGAACAATGTCCAAGCCCACTGAATCCCCTAAAAACCACTTATGGTCAGGCTCAGTGGCTCATGCCTGTAATCCCAGCACTTTGGGAGGCCAAGGCAGGTGGATGACTTGAGGTCAGGAGTTCCAGACGAGCCTGGGCAACATGGCGAAACCCCGTCTCTACTAAAAACACAAAAATTAGCTAGGCGTGGTGGTGAGCACTTGTAATCCTAGCTACTCAGGAGGCTGCAGCAGGAGAACTGATTGAACCCAGGAGGTGGAGGTGGCAGTGAGCTTAGACCGTGCCATTGCACTACAGCCTGGGTGACAAGAGCAAAACTCTGTCAAAAGAAAGAGAGAAAGTGAGAAAGAGAGAGAGAGAAAGGAAGGGAGAAAGGGAGGGAGGAGGGAAGGAAGGAGGGAAGGAAGGAAGGAAGGAAGGAGAAAGAAAAAGAAAGAAAGAAAGAAAGAGAAAGAAAGAAAATCTTGCTAGCTGCACATGGATTCCAATCCTAATTTCTGTCCAGCCGTATTTTCCAGGACCTGAGCTTCTCAGCTGAGCACCTACACATAAAAATCCAAAAGCCCTGCATGCCCCACAGACAGAAGCTACAGGAAATCAAAAGCAGTTCATGGAAGGGAAAAGGATGAACAAAAAAATGTGTTCCCCAAAAGGTCAAGAGTCGCACAAACAACTTAAAATAAACATGGTCAGGTGCAATCGCTCACAACTATAATCCCAGCACTTTAGGAGATTGAGGCAGAAGGACTGAGGCCATGAGTTCAGGACCAGACTGGCCAACATAGCAAAATTCCATCTTTATAAAAATAAAAATTAAAAAATTATCCAGGCATGGTGATGCCCACCTGTAGTCCTAGCTACTTGGGAGGTTGAGGCAGGAGGATTGCTTGAGCCCAGAAGTTCAAGGTTACATTGAGCTATGATAGGACCAACGTACTCCAGCCTGAGTGACAGAGCAAGATGCTGTCTCTAAAAATAAAAATGAAAAACAAACAGGACTGGCCAGACGCGCTGGCTCATGTCTGTAATCCTAGCACTTTGGGAGGCCAAAGCAGGCAGATCACCTGAGGTCAGGAGTTCAAGACCAGCCTGGCCAAAAGATGGGTGAAAACCCATCTCTACTAAAAACAAAAAATTAGCCAGGCATGGTGGCAGGTGTCCGTAATCCCAGTTACAGGGAGGTTGAGGCAGGAGAATCGCTTGAACTCGGAAGGCGGAGGTTGCAGTGAGCTGAGATTGCGCCATTGCACTCAAGCCTGGGAGTGAAACTGTGTCTAAAAAAAAAAACTAGCTGGGCAAGGTAGGGGGTGCCTGTAATCCCAGCTACTTGGGAAGCTGAGTTAGAAGAATCATTTGAACCCAGGAGGCGGAGATTGCAGTGAGCCAAGATTGCACCAATGCACTCCAGCCTGGGTAGCAGAGCAAGACTCTGTCTCAAAACAAACAAACAAAAAGAAATTGTTTCAGATAACCTCTTGTTTTCTTATTGCAAATAAATTACTTCATCAGAACTTCTTTTAGAAGCTCCTAAGTATCATTGAAAAATAGCTCTCTCAGTTTTTAAATTTTAGATCCAGATTTTTCCTGTTGAGTGCCTAAACTAAGTTAGGTATTTTCAAGGTACCCCATCTTAGCTATTGTAGTCTGAGGTCTTCATGGGTTAAGTGAGACAATTTTCTCGATATTGACAGAAGGTGGCACCATGAGTATGCACATGAATACAGCTGCCGTTTCTGCCGATGGATCTCTCCTTTAGAAGCACAAGAGCCCATAATTTAAATTTTCCTTCTAAATGACCAAAAATACATAAGGGGAGGAATTTCAGTCACTAAAGAAGAAGGTTTAGAGTTGTCAATTGAACCAAGTTTCAGAATGTGGCCAGTTTTAAAGATGACACTTTCTCCTTGACCAAATTTCAAATGAGGAAAAGGCTGCAAACTCTAAAAAGTAAGATAAACAAAACCTCAGAGAGAAGTGAAAATCACAAATCTGCAGTCAACAGACTCTCTAGAGAATAAAAATGGAAACTCCCACCTTTCAGTGGAGCTTCAGTTCCAACCCTATCAAATTCTTAGTGTGTAAGTCTCAATCTTCAACCAAGCCAGGAGGATTCGGATCCCAAGATGGGCCTTACCAGAGACCCGGGCCAGCCCCAGTGAGGTCGAGTAAACAATAGTCGCTAGTGCTGGTACCAAGGCTTCAACTATTGATGAAGTGGTGGCACTCCCTGAAGGCCTGCTTCAGCTCCTATGTGGGTCGCCAAAATGTCAACCTCAAATAACAAAATTCAGGCCAGATGCAGTGGCTTACACCTGTAATCCAAGCACTTTGGAAGACCGAGGTGGGTGGATCACCTGAGGTCAGGAGTTCGAAGCCACCTGGCCGACATGGTGAAACCCCGTCTCTACCAAAAAAATACAAAGAATTAGCCAGGTGTGGTGGCACATGCCTGTCATACCAGCTACTCTGGAGGCTGAGGTAGCAGAATTGCTTGAACCTGGGAGGTGGAGGTTGCAGTGAGCAGAGATCGTGCCATTGCACTCCAGCCTGGGCAATAGGAATGAAACTTGGTCTCAAAAAAAAAGAAATAAAATTCAGAAAATATGATTAAGTATACAGTTTATTTGAGCCCAAGCTTGAGGATGGCTACCTGGGCACATACCCCCTAGGTTCCCCTGAATATGTGTTCCTATTAGCAGCAGTTACACTGGGTTTTGTATTGTTTTTTGGGGTTTTTTTTGAGACGGAGATTTGCTCTGTTGGCCAGGGTGGAGTGCAGTGGTGCTATCTCGGCTCACTGCAACCCCTGCCTCCAGGGTTCAAGCGATTCTCCTGCCTCAGCCTCCCAAGCAGCTGGAACTACAGGTGTGTGCCACCACACCCACCTAATTTTTTTTGTATTTTTAGGAGAAAAAGGGTTTCATCATGTGATATTGTGCTGGCCTAGAGCCAGAACCGGAGCAAAACTATTTTATAAAATGCAAAACTGTTTTTAGATAAGTTAAACTGGCTGCCCCATTCTCCTCACAATAACTACTGTCCTTGGCCTCTGTAAATAGAACTGCCAGTTTGTTCCTCAAAACTATGTAAAGCTGCTTACCTTTTCTTATCAGTAACTGCTAAAATCTGTGACTTCTATCACCACCCAGACGATGTGTAAACAAATGTATATCCTGACTTCTGTAAACCACTGAGGTAACAAACAGAATGACAAAAGTCCCCTAGACCTTGGAATGTCCGGAGACCCCCGCCCTTGTCTCCACCCAGGAGGTGAATCACAGAATCCCCTAGCCCTTGAAATGTCCGAAACCTTATCATCCCCATCCCCGCCCCTCACCCCCACTCCCAAGGTGGTTTTTCGGGTATAAAAAATCATGGCACCCTCCTTTTGGCACCACAGGTTGGAGAGACGTGAGTCCTCTGTGGTCACCGGCATAAATAAATGACCCTGCAATCTGGCATACTTTTGTCTTGTGGTAACTTTCTACGCTCCGGTCAAATACAACAATCATATTGGCCAGGCTGGTCTTGAACTCCTGACCTCGTGATCCACCCGCCTCAGCCTCCCAAAGTGCTGGGATTGCAGGTGTGAGCCACAGAGCCTGGCCTAATTGGATCTTTAAGGGAAAGGAAGAGGCAATCCCTAAGTTGTTAGCAAGAACTTGCATTAAAATAACAGAAGGTGCTGATTGGCTATGCATTGTTCTTTGAATCACTAATTCCATGGGAACCTGAAGGTAATGGGTGAGGCAGCCTGTCAGGAGCAAAAATGCCTTCAAACAATTGCCCCGGACAACTGCTTCTGTGGCAGAAGGGGCACTGAATGAAGTCCCACACTCCTGTTTCTCTGGGCCTCATCATTTTGCACACCTCACAGAGCTCAGACTGCTTTATTTTTTCTTTTCTCAGGAAAAACAGGTGGATGTTGCTGGTGGCCCTGGTCTGATCATCTACCCTGGTTCTAGTAACCAGATTAATTCCTTTTCATAGAGCCTGTATTTCAGTTCAGTTCCCAGGCATAGACCTTACCTCTGCTTTCTTTGACCACTTCTCCCCTACCCCAGGGACTTCACAGCTGAGAGCCTGTTGCCAGCTTCCAACTTTCCAGCAGTCTTTGTTCCCAGACCGTGTCCTGAGGCTGCACGCTCTGGACATGACCACCTGCTGGACTGGCATCTGTCTTGTCACTTCTCTGGCCTCATCTATGCAAAAGGAACATAAAACTCAGGACCCCACTTCACTCTGCCAAAAGGAAAAGAATGAGTTAGGCCGGGCATGGTGGCTCACGCCTGTAATCCCAGCACTTCGGGAGGTTGAGGCGAGCTGATCACAGGAAGTCAGGAGTTCGAGACCAGCCTGACCAATGTGGAGAAACCCCATCTCTACCAAAAATGCAAAATTAGCCGGGCGTGGTGGTACATGCCTGTAATTCCAGCTACTCAAGAGGCTGAGTCAGGAGGATCACTTGAACCCGAGAGGCGGAGGCTGCAGTGAGTGGAGATTGTGCCACTGCACTCCAGCCTGGACAACAAGAGCAAAACTCCGTCTCAAAAAAAGAAAAAAAAATGAGCTGAAAGCTGTCATATAAGCAAGCAACTGCCTTTCTTTTTGTTCCTAAGCAGATGGCTACAGATAAAAGGTTCAACATCCCCTTCTCTTATGTAAAGTACGCGTTTGCTGAGTGTGAGCCGTACACAATTGACTGTTCCCCACCCACTTTTCTCTTGCAATGTGTGGGGTTAGAGTTAGGGAATTATTGTCCCAATTTCCCCTCCAGCCCACTTTTCCCCTTTAAATAATGAAGCCCTCAAAGCCATCTTTGGAGAAAGGCACAGACCCCAGACTGTTTCTGTGATTCCGTGTTTCCCCTCAGGCATTGTCCTTAACCTTGGCAATATAAACTTCTAAATTCATTGAGCCCTGTCTCAGATACTTTTTGGTTTACACCTCCGAGTCCCTACTGTTCCTAGGACAAGTTTCCAGTTTGCAGATCTTTCCCAGGTGGGAAGATGCTCTGTTGCCAAGAGAGATGCAATTCTAACGCGCAACTCTGTCCAAACACTAGGGCTCAGCGTTCAGCTCTGGCCAGCCAAGAGGACCCCACGCTCCTCCCCCCAGCCTGGGGCTCATCTTGAGGGGGAGGTAAGTGAAGTAGGCCCTGTCGGACTTCTACTCAACCAGAGTAGACAGCTGGGTTGGAAATTAGGTAAATCGAAGGTGAGTTGATGAATGTGGGAAACCAGATGAAAATGGCTACTTAATGGGGTGGTTAAAACACAGGGGGGTGGAATAGAACACTTTCAACGGAATGGTTCCAGCCTTGTGCCCTAAGGGGACCGAAAGGGTATCCCAGAGGCAAGTCACCGGCCTTCCAGCTCCACCTGTGGGTGGCCTTGGTCCGGCCACTGAAAGAACGCAGGGTCCCGGGGAGGTCACAGCTGGCAAGCGTTCAGGGAGGGGGAAGCCGAGCGGGGTGCGAGGGAAAAAAAACAGCACAGAGCGGCCGAGCTATGTGAGGTGTGCGAGGTTAATCAGGCCCTGAGAGACAGGTCCATGAGGCTTCAGCGGTCCCCACCCGTGCCTGGCAATTGTTTAAAGGCACTATTGCTCCAGACCCGCTGCCTTCACCCATCATCTTCCTTTACTGGAATTACGACACAAAGAACAACGTATAGCCAACCAAGTGTCTGTTACTTTCATGTAAATTCTTGGTGAGCTATTTAAAAACTGCCCCTCTCTTTTACTTTATAAACCCACTTGTAGCTGTTGCGAATCCTATGTTCAGGGCAACCTGAAGCTGTACTCCCGGGCTGCAATCTTCACACTTGGCCCAAATAACCTCTCTACTTTTTATATAAAGTTTGCCTCAGCTTTTTTTCTTTAAGGTCGACGGTTCCCCCGCAACACGCGCAAGCGTGTGAGGAAGGGGACGCCGCACTTCTCAATATTCCCTGCGCTGGGGTCGAGCTGAGCGCCCCGCACCGAGCCCCAGGAGGCTCTGCGGAAAAGCCCCTCGGCCCCGGTTCGGTCTACACTGCCAGCCCCCGATCCACGGCGCGGAGCACCGAGCAGGACCAGCACCGGGCAAGAGGGCTACGGCTAGGCGGGGCGGGTTTCCAGGACCGAAAAGAGAGAGCCTTCCGCTCGCACTACGTGCTTCCTACGCCCATGCGTCCCGCCCACGCGCAGGCAGCGCCTCGCCTGATTGGGTATTGCTGCCACGTCGGGGCGGGGAAGAGCGTCGTCGCGCCAGGGTGACGTCTCCCGCGGGCGTCTGCAGGGTTGGCGGCGTCGGCAGGAGTGTCGGCGGCGGCGGCGGCGGGTGGGAAATGGCGGAGTATCTGGCCTCCATCTTCGGCACCGAGAAAGACAAGTGAGTGGGAGTCGCCCGTCGGGGGTTGGGCGCGATCGGGGCGCGGGGCAGCTGAGGCGGCGGAAGGGCCACCGGGGAGGCCCAAGCGGGCCGGCGCGGCGGCGGCGGCGGCGGGGGGAGGGACTCGGCGGCGGGAAGGTGCGGCGGCCCTTCCGGCCCCTTGCGCGCCCTCCGGGAGCCGCGCACCGCAGCCGCCTCGTGGGCCGCGCGGAGGAAGAATGGAGCGGGGCAAAGGAATGGGGCTTCTTTTTGGGGTGCCTTCTCCCGCTCTGGGGCCTGGGCGGGCTGATCGTCCGATTCCGGGCCTTCAGCCTCTGGCCCCCGGAAGCCGCCTCGAGCAGCGCCGAAAGTTGCCTGGCGCATCCGGGCCTTTTCGATGTGGACACGTTTGCTCCAACTTTGAGCTGTGAAAGTCCTGTGGAGCAAGCTCTGGTACCAGCCTCGCCAGGATTCAGCCGCTTACCTAACTTAGGGTCCTAAGCGTTGGTGTTTTATCCACTTAGCAAGCCTCTTGCCTGTTTAAGCGACCACTGGGCCGGCAATAAGGACATATGACGAGGAAAAGTATGGTGGAGACTACTGGATTAACTGTCTAACCACAAAAGACGTGATCTGCTCTTAAAATACAGGTGCTCCTCGATTTACGATGGGATTGCGTTCCGATAAACCCATCATGAATCGAAAATGCCTTTAATACCCCCGATAAACCTGTCGTATAAGTTGAAAGCTTTTAAGTCCGTGACTGTTCTTGACGCAGTTCTGGTATAAAGAAAAAGATGTTTTGGTGCGTTTTTTCCTTAAGGTTGCTTGTTTTCCCTAATCAACTGTTAAGTTAAAAGCAAAACATAATTTCAGCTTTGTTTAATTGCCACCTTGACGCCAATCAATTTCCAGTGAGTTGGCTGTAGTTTAGACTAAAGCGAATGTTTTCAGACGTTTGAAGGATAATTCTTTCTTTGAAAACCTAAAGACTCAGCATCTGGCTTAATCTACTCGTTCAGTAAGTAGATTATCTTGGCATTCCTCAGTGCCATACAAAGCTAACATGACTTTATGTTTTCAATGATAAACCCATAAATTTGTCATAGATGTTTTTAATGCCACTTTTTTCAAACGCTATTTAAAATTTTTCTCTCTTCCAGGATGGAGTTTATCTTTTAAAATGTTCTCTTCACACATGGTAGAATCTCCTGTGTTGTTTGGATGAGGGGGCTATATTTCTTTCTAGCAAAATTTTAAGTCAAAATCACCAGTAATAGTCACACTCCAGAAACGTTTGGTGGGGGTCAACTATAGGCCAATTTCTGGAGCCTTAAACATGGGTGAAATTTGGATGTTATCCTTAAAGAACTCATGGTATGATCTTGGCGGATGGGGATAGACAGCTCTACTGGAACAAGAGGCTTCTCTGAGTTTAGGGTGAAGAACTGAACACGTGTAGGATCAGGGGGCATCATTAATTTCACCTTTTCATAATTGTCTGTGCCGTAACTTTTGTGTCTTGTAAAAGGCTATATTCCTATGTTTCTGCTGTAATCATTTCAACCTATTTGGGCTATACTCTAAAAGTTATGGTTTTAATTCAGAAAAGTTGACTATTTAATCTGGGTTTACTTGTGTTTTCTTTTCAGGGAGAATGGGATTTTAGCTTCCGGGAAACAGGATCAGCTCCTAAAAAATAAAGCTGATGGTTTCTCTTAACTTTGTTTTAATTATTACTTAAGCTAAGAATAAAATATAGATCTCTACCAGTTAAAAAATATTCGGCTTATTGTACATTTGAAGTCATAGATGTTTTCTAGATTCAGGCATATCCTGATAGCTTGTCTGTGGTTTAATTATATGGAATAATTGAATATTAATTGTTTAACCACAGGGCTTGCCCATTCTGAGGTAGTTTTTCAATAATCTTTATTTTCAGATGACTTTCTAAAGATATACTATTGTCTCAAGTTAGATAATCTAAAGTAAGGCCTGTAAGTTTGCCAATATGTATAGTCACTTTTCTCTCCTGGCAAATTCACTTTCCCATCTTTATTGCTACCTGATAGTAAATCGATGGCTAGTCAGTCTTCATGGTCCATCAGATTTCACTGAGGTTGAGGCCCTTCAATCGTAACTCTGGATTGACTTTAGAACATAATGACACTGGTTAAAAAATATGAGTTTGAAAGGAGTCCATCTAGTAAGATGTCTAATTCCTTAGAGATCTGCTTCCCTACCTGGCATTGCTGGCACACAGGCGTGACTGCTGGTTCCACTGGAGATGGATCTGGATCATCAGTGTATTTGAACAGTATTAAGGGAGGGCTTTGCAAGAGACAGAGGTGACGTTAGGTGTTTCCTAAGCTGGGTTTGGTCAGTCCCCTAACAGCTTGTTTTCATTGTATTGAGACCAGGAGAATTGATTTACTTCACACCTATTTTTTTGGAACTCCCTGTTGGTCTGGTATCAGGGTTTAAAGAGACTCTGAACTTAGTTTTCCATTTTCCTTAAATCATGACAGCACTTCGTGAGCACTGTATATGAAACACACATACGTTCTAGCAGACTCAGTACAGCGCCACATGGAGCTAGGGTGACTTGCCCAAGCCCAGGCCGCTGGTAGCAGTGTTGGGGTCTTAACCCTCACTACACTGGTGTTTTCAAGAGAGAGCTTCATTGTGGAGAACTGGAGAGCAGATACAGCTTTGGTTACATTTAGCTTTAGACTAATTTAATACTCCATTTAGGGAAAAAAAAAATGGGAAAAACTGTACAGTTAAGAAAATGGAGGGGATTTTAATGAGGAGGAGTCAAGTTGGAATTAGAATAGTCTTTGTTGAATGAGCAGTATGTTTGAAGAAGGGGAAGTTGAAGTTCAGTTGTCCTAAAATACAGCAAGGAAGAGGAGGTGCTTAATACCACAGAAAAACTGTGTCATGTTTCTGTGAGGTTAAAAAGTACTTTGATAGTGTGTATCATGCTGATGACATATTTCCGTGTGTTTGGTATCTTCCCAGCAAAATAATCAGCTCTTATTTTCCCTTACAGAGTCAACTGTTCATTTTATTTCAAAATTGGAGCATGTCGTCATGGAGACAGGTGCTCTCGGTTGCACAATAAACCGACGTTTAGCCAGGTTTGTTTGCTTTTTTTTTTTCATGTAAATTGTAAAAATTTCATCTTCTTTTCAAAGACGGTTAATTTCTACATATTAAGCAAGTCATTTTTTTCTCTAGTTGTGTTTTCCCTTTGTATTCATAAGTGTGTTCTTTTGTTAGAATGAGGCAGGTCCTCTCCCAGTGGAAGGTCTGAGAGCACCACTCCTTGTTTTTATCATTAGAGAAACTTTAAAAACAAGTTTTTGATATTTGTGTGTTGGCTGCGCCTGACATTTGCTGCCCTGCCATCCTCCCTACTCCTCTGATAGACATGGGTCCAGAGGGGGTGGCCGTGCCAGCCTTGGCCTAGCCTCTTCCAGGCACCAGTGGACACGAGTGGGCTCTCTGCTTTGCTGTCTCCAGACAGTAGAGGTGATGGAGCCACTGTACGAGCTAGCATGATTGTCAGCAGGCCCCTGGTGCTGCTGGAGCTTCTCTGACTGTGTCCTCACTTCCACATCCCTAGTTGAGGAAATAGCAAGTTGCATCATGTCATGGAAACATGAAAAATGGAGCTTAAAGGTAGAAAATGGGCCGTAAATTGCTCAGAGCGGATCTGTTCAGTGAATTGAGGAGTGCCCGTTATCTTGGGCTTAGAGCCGCTCTGGGTTCAGTTCAATCAAAAATTGTGATTTTTTGATAGTTTCATTGTTGGTCAGTTGAAAAGACAAAGATTTGTACACTATAAAGGATCACTTAAGGGTGAAAGGGAGAAAGCACCTCTATCAGGAGCAGGAAACTTGTGCCCAAGTTGATGAGAACATTTGAAATTTGAAAATCTATGCTCAAGTCTTTCTAGATGGAGGGTTGGGGAGCTCCTTCCAATGCCACTCCCCCCCAACTTGACGTCTAAATGTGTGGCCTCTGAACCGTTGAGTAGGTGTTGTGCGTGGCCCCTGGGAGCTGCCAGACTCTGCCTTTGAGCTCACATCTTTCTATGTATGTTTTCCTGTGTGCATTTAAGAAAATCTGCCACTTGGTATAAGTGAGCTGGGAGGGGAAACACGGGTTTTTTCCTGGTGATGCCCATGGCCAACCCCACAGCACACAGTGTTTTTAGAAGAGGATGATGGCTTTTCCTCCATTGTCCCAATTACCAAGTGGTTAGTAAAACAGCAGTCTGTTTTTTCATAGCTCTCAACATGTCTCTTTTTGTGAATTTCAAAATCTTGGAGAACTAGTTTTAAATTTACAATTGTTAAAAAAAAAACAATTGTAATTGTTTTTTCTTGCTTGTTTTATGAACTGAATCTCCCCTAATGAAGCCAGTGGTCCTGGATTGTGCTATAACCAAGCCCCTTAAGTGACCTCCCAGTTCTGTAATTGGCAGGGGGGGTGTCCCAAGTGGCTAAGAGAAATAAACTGTTCCCAATTCTAAAAGTTTTCTCTAATCTGGCCAGAGGGACTTGCTTTATCTTTGTCTGGATCGGGGATTACCTGAGAATGTGAACTTAGTTTAGGCACTCGGGATCAGTGTGGGGAGAGCCCATTGGAGCTTGATAGAGCCAGTAGAATGTGTCAGCTTAAGCACCCTAGTTTGATGTGTGAGTTTGTTCTGGTTGGTTTTAGGCAATTCTAGCCCACCCCTGT